TATACACCCTGAAGTATTGAAAACAAGTACTCAAACAAATATATGTACATATATGTTCATGGTGCAATTCACAATAATCAAAATATTCACAATAATCAAAAGATAGAAACAACCTCAATGTCTATCACTGGAAAGATGGATAACGATATTGTGGTATAGCCATACAATGGAATATTATTCAGCTATAAAAAGGAATAAAGTACTGAAACAAGCCATAATGTGGATGAAGTTTGAAAACATGCTAAATGCAGTAACCATATGTGTCACTTATTATATGATTCCATATATGTAAAATATCCAGAATAGGTAAATTCACAGAGATAGAAAGCAGATTGATAGTTGCCAGGGGCTTGGAGCAGGGGAGAATGGTGAATAATTGCTTAATGGGTATGTGGCTTTTTGTAAGGGTGATGAAAACATTTTGGAACTAGATAGAGGTGGTAGTTGTACATTGTGAATGTACTAAATACCGTTGACTTGGTCACTTTAAAAATGGTTAATTTTTATGTTCTGTGAATTTCATCTCAATTTTTTTAAAATTAAAGAAAACATAAAGCTTTCACAAACTTTATAACCATAATTATTACTAGTAATAGATGCTTGGTTGATACCAGTATGTCAGAACACTTGTTGAGAATCATTGGCTATAACCATCTCCCAAGGTTACTAACTGGCTTCTTTTTTTTTTTCTTTGCTTAATTTCTTCACCATTTTCACTGAGCCCTCCAACTCGTTCCCCTCTGACAGTTGTCAATCTGTTCTCTGTCTCTATGAGTCTGTTTCTATTTTGTTTGTTAGTTTATTTTGTTCATCAGATTCTACATATAAGTGAGATCATATGGACTTACGTTTCTCTAACTCTTTTATTTCACTTAGCATAATACTCTCCAGGCCCACCCATGCTGTTGCAAAAGTTAAGATTTCCTTTTTTACAGTGGAGTAGTATTCCATTGTGTAAATGTACCACAGCTTTTTTTATCTACCCATCTACTGATGGGCACTTGGGCTGCTTCCAGATCTTTGCTATTGTAAATAATGCTGCAATGAATGTAACAGTACATATCTTCTTTCAAATTAGTGTTTTGGGCTTCTTTGGATATATTCCCAGAAGTGGAATCACTGGATCATAAGACAGTTCCATTTTTAATTTTTTGAGGACACTCCATACTGTTTCCCACAGTGGCTGCACCAGTCTGCAGTCCAACCAACAACAGTGCCCGAAGAATTTTCCTTTCTCCACATCCTCACGAACCCTCGTTGTTTTATAATTTATTGATGACAGCCATTCTGACTGGTGTGAGGTGATGCATCATTGTGGTTTTAGTTTGCATTTCTCTGATGGTTAGTGACATTGAGCATCTTTTCATAAGCTTATTGCCCATCTGTATGTCCTCTTTGGAGAAGGGTCTGCTCAGGTCCTTTGCCCATTTTTTAATTGATTTGTTTGTTTGTTTTGGTGTTGAGTTTTATAAGTTTTTTTATAAATTTTGGAAATTAATCCCTTATCAGATGTACCATTGACAAATATGTCCTCCCATTCAGTATGTTGTCTTTTCATTTTGTTGATAGTTTTCCCTTGCTGTGCAAAACCTTTTCAGTTTGATGTAGTCTTAACTAGTTTGATGTTTATTTTTTCTTTTGTTTCCCCTGCCTGAGCAGATATATCAGAAAAATATTACTATGAGAAATGTCTGACATTTTACTGTCTATGTTTTCTTCTAGGATTCTTAAGGTTTCAAGTCTAACAACTAAGTCTTTAATCTGTTTTGAGTTTATTCTTGTATATGATGTAAGAAAGTGGTCTAGTTTCACTTTTTTTTGTCCAATTGTCCCAATACCATTTATTGACTAGATTGCCTTTACCCCATTGTATGTTTTTGCCTCCTTTGTCAAGTATAAATTGACCAGACAGGCATGGGCTGATTTCTGGGCTCTCTATTCTGTTTCATTGATCTATATGTCTGTTTTTATGCCAGTACCATGCTGTTTTGATTATTGTGGCCTTGTAGTGTAGTTTGATATCAGGTAGTGTGATTCCTCCAACTTTCTCAGGCTCGCTGTTGTTATTTGGGGTCTTTTTGGTTCCATATAAATTTTTGAATATTTGTTATAGTTCTGTGAAGTACACCATTGGTATCTTGATAGGAATTACATTGAATCTATAGATTGTTTTGGCCAGTATGGACATTTTGATGATATTAGTTCTTCCTATCCATATACTGTGCTTATACTTCCTAAGCACAGTATATGCTTCCACTTACTTGTATCCTCTTCAATTTCTTTCTTCAGTGTCTCATAATTTTCTGATACAGGTCTTTTACATTCTTGGTTAAATTTATTCTTAGGTGTTTTTATTTATTTATTTATTTATTTATTTATTTATTTATTTATTTATTTTTAGAGATGGGGGGGAAGAGAGGGGGAAAAAGAGGGAGAGAAACATCAATGCATGAGAAATACATTAGTCATAATGCATAAGTTGCCTCTTGCACACCCCCAACCAGGGACCTGGCCCTCAACGCAGGCATGTGCCCTGATTGGGAATTGAACCAGCGACCTCTCGGTTTGCAGGCTGTCACGTTATTTCACTGAACCACACCCAAGGCTTCTGGGGTTTTTTTTGTTGGTTTTTTTTTTTTTTTTATGCAATTGTAAATGGAATTGTTTCCTGTTTCCCTTTCCGATAGTTCATTACTGGCGTATAAAAAAAAATGCAACTAATTTCTGGCTATTTATTTTGTAACCTGCTACTTTACTGAATTTATTTATCAGTTCTAATTTTTTTTGTGGAATCTTTAGGGTTCTCTATTATACAGTGTCCTGTCATCTGTAAAACTAGCTGGCTTCTGATTACAGCTTCTCCTCTTGGCTGAGGGCAGGACATGTAGGCTGGGGATTTCTAACTCAGATGCCTTCAGGGGCCCAGCCTACTGGGATAAATGTTCGGGCTCAGCCGGGAGTAAGACCGCAGGGAGTAGTGGGGATTAGGTGAAGCTGAGCTGGGCCTGTGCTACCTGTAGGCTTTCCGATTCAGACCCACTTCTCTGGACTGCTGCTTGCCCATCTCCATCATTTTGCCGTCCCTCTTAAACCACCTGACAGACTAGTCTATTTTAAAACACTATCTTCAGTATGCCATTCATTTGTTAAAAATCCATTTCCTGATCTAAACTTCTCTGCTTCCCCATCCAGCATAGAATATGAGGAAGTTCATATGGTTCATATGTACCTTGAAACTCTAATCTTCCTCCCCACTGTACCCTTTGGGGGTTGCGGTAACAGGACTAAACCCTGTTCACCATGGAAGGGGGAGGTTCCCTCAGAACCTTTGGTTCAAGGTCGGCTGAGGGAGAAATGGTCCGTAGCTGGTGGCCCCTCTATGGAGGGAAGAGTGGGCTTCTTTAGTGTCACTTTCTTTTAGTGTCAGCAACCTGAGTGCCTATTTGTCTCTTATTTCTGTTCAAGGAGAGGGGGAGAGAGACACAGAAGGATCTAGAAAGATTTTGATTAGATGACATGGAGAAAGATTTTTTTTTTTAAATCTGCTCAAGCATTCAGAGGCCTGGGCACTTTCAGGATGCTGAAAGCTTGGAGCAGGGAGGGCTGTGCCAGGGAAGAGGGCGTGGAGGAAGGAGACGTAGGCCATTAGATCTAGGGAGTGGCTGGCACTGTTTCCTTTTGTGCCTCCAGCTCTGTGTCTGCTTGTAATCCCTCTGTACTGATGATTTCTGAGAAGCGCACAGGACTTAGAGATCTTTGGCCAGTGTCCTTTCAGTATGGAAACAATTCAGTGGACATTTGCTGGTGCTGGGAGCAGGGCAGGAAGAGTACCGTTGTGTGACTTGAGGGACCTAAAATTGCCCCCCACCCCCTGTCTGAGTGGCAGAGAGAAGCTTTCTTCTTTTCCTGAAATCCTGTGCTCAGAACTCTGGATTCCACATGGCTCAGGGTCTGGACCACAGGAGGCTGTGCTTGTCCTGGGCCTTCAGAACCATCCCACTTGTGGAAAGGGAGGCTTGCCTTCCGCAGATCCGGGGGCTTGCGAATTGCCCCTTTCGGCGGAGTGCCCGGCTTAGCTTACAGCACTGCAGTCGACGAGTGTTTTTGCCCTTTCAGGGGAGATTGGCTCCCACAGGGCACACTTACCACCGGAACCATCCTGTGGGTGAGGTGGCTGCCTCAGCTGCGGTCCTAAGAACGCCAAGGTGGCTCCCACACCACGGCGCTTTGTGTTACAATGTGGGAGACAGGGTGCAGCTCAGTGCACCAGTTCCTTCTTCCTGGGCCGTGTTCACAGAGAACATCATGGGTGTGAACATGTGTGTGCTCTCTGACCCTGTCAGCCAGTTCTCAGTGGGTTGGGTTAAATTCCTGGATTAAGGGGAAATCTTTTTGTCCCCAAATGTGTTTTCTTAAGAGCTTAAATAAAGTAACTTGAATTAGTTCATGGAAACTGTTCAGACACTGAAACCTTAGAAATCTAACATGTGCTTCCGTTCCTTGTGGTCTGAGAGTAGTCACAGCCCATGGGTGCCGTGGCAGACAGGGTCCAAGTAGCCCCCTTCCTCAGCAGGGTCAGCGGTGACCTCACAGCTCCTTTCCTAGGGTGTGAATGGGCCAGATGGTGTAACGATTAAGAGAGAAGGCTCCTGAGTCAGGCTGCCTGAGTTTCAGTCCTGGCATATTAGTTGGGTGGCCTTGGAAAATGTATTTAATGGTATTATAGTTCAGTGTCCTCTGTAAAATGGAGATGGCAATAGTACCTGCCTCAGAAGGCTCTTGTGAGGGTTGGAGATAATGTCCACAAAAGGCTTGGCATAAAAATGGATGCATTGCACGTGTTTAAGAGATGACGGCTTCTACCATCAGTCAGTCTGCAGTAGGTACGTGATGGAGCCTGCAGGAGAGGAAAGGGGACGACAGGAGGGCTCTGTATTTGGTGGCTTCCCTGTGATTAATGCAGACTCTCTGGTTTCTTCTGTATTTCTTTCCTTGCCTAGTATTGATCCTCCAGAAGGTGGAGAATGGAGACCTGAGCAACAAGATTCTGAAGATCACTGATTTTGGCCTGGCTCGGGAATGGCACCGAACCACCAAGATGAGTGCGGCAGGGACATATGCTTGGATGGCACCTGAAGTCATTCGTGCCTCCATGTTTTCCAAAGGCAGCGATGTGTGGAGGTAAGGTCTAGAGGTGCAAGGTCTCTGTTCCCCTGTCTGTTTAGGATGTGGACATGCCCAGGACTTGGAGAACTGAGGTTGCGTAGACTCCCAGGAACCCCAAGTAGGTCTAAGTGATCCCTTCAGAGCAATCTACACTAATTCCCACGTTGCCAGGGGACAGCTTCCAAAGTCTTCATCCCCCAGAAGTCCCCTCCAGTGCTGCGGCAAGTTCCCATCCTTGCAGGCCCCTCTCTGTTGGCGATTGTTCCCCAGGGAAGACGTATATATCCAGGGGCAGTGTGCATCCCCGTCTCTGAGTGCAGGGTGGTGGCAGCACTCAGTCCCTCCTGGAGACCTTCCCCAGGGTCACCCTGCCTTGCTTAGCAACAGAAACTCTTACTGCTGCACTTGTAGCTCCTGGGCCAATAAGTAGTCTTTGTGCTGTCTTTTTGTCGTTGGTGGGCTGGAAATGATCATTTCCAGTTCACCAGTTAATCTTTTTAATCTATCTCTTGAATGTGGATATAGAAATGGGAAAAGACAGATCTCAAGCATGCCCCCAGAAATGCAGAGTCACAGACTCGACCAGCCATCCCACTAATAAATGTCAGCCCAAGAGGTCACAGGGACATGGATCTAAAATTCTTGTCCCCAGCGATGGGAGGATGAGCATCTACAGAGTGAGCATGCATCCTCGTGGCTGTGAGATGGGAGCATCACCTTGGTGTGCAAGAGAGAGGATAGGTTATCATTGTACTTCAGCCTATGAAGTCATTGCTTCCTGTTGTGGTATAAAGTGAACTTGGGTATTTGTGTGTGTGTGTGTGTGTGTGTGTGTGTGTGTATTTTCAATAATAACATTATTTATATTATTATTCATATACTGTAAGGTTTACCTTTTTTAGAAGTATGTCAGTGGATTTTAGTGAATTTACAAAGTTTTATACCAATCATCATTCTTATTAGTTTCCTAGAGCTGCAGTAACAAACTGCCACAGACCTGGTAGCTTAAAACAATAGAAATTTGTAGGCTGGGGACCAGAAGCCTACAGTTAGTGTCAGCAGGGCCACACACACTCCAGAGACTCTAGAGGACTCTAGGGGAGACTCTGTTCCAATTATAAGCGCTCTGGGTATTAAGACATAGACATAAATTTCTAGGGCCACCATTCAACCTACTATAACCATTATCTATTTTCAGAGTATTTTTATTACCCCAAAAAGAAACCTGATACCTATTAGCAGCCATTCCCTCATCTGCCCTGGCAACCACCAGCTTACTTTCTGCTGCTTTGGGGCTATTTTGGACATTTCATACAAATGGATTCATATCATATGTGGTCTTTTTTGACTGGTTTCTTTCATTTGGCATAATGTTTTCAAGGTGGATCCATGTTTTAACAGGTGTCAGAACCTCATTCCTTAATAGCTGAATAATATTCTGTTTATGGATATACCACAATTTGTTTATCCATTATTCATCTGTTGATGGACATTTGGGTTGTTTCCACTTTTTGGCTGTGGACACTTGTGTACAAGTTTTTGTGTGAACATGTTATCAGTTCTCTTGGGTATATACTGGGGAGTGAAATTGCTGAGTCACATGGTAATTCTATTCTAATTTTTGAGGAAACCGTTTTTCACATTGGCTGTACCATTTTACATTTCCAATAACAGTGACTGAGAATTCCAGTTTCTCCATGTCCTGTTGTCTGCCGTTTTTATTATAACCATCCTTGTAGACATTAAGTGGTATTTCATTAAGGTTTTGATTTGTATTTCCCTAATGACAAATGACGTTGAACAGCTCTTCATGTACTTATTGGCTGTTTTATATATTCTCTGGATATATGTCTTTTCAAATCCTTTGCTGTTAAGAAATTGGGAATACATGCTTTTATGTTGAAATATTTCTTTATATATTCTGGACACAAGTCCCTCATCAGATATATGGTTTGCAAATATTTTCTTTCATTCTGTGGGATGTTTTTCCCCACCTTATTGATGGTATCCTTTGAAACACAAATGTTTATAATTTTGGTGAAGTCCAAGTTATTTTTTCCTTGATCGCTTATGCTTTTGGTGTCATAGCTAAGAAACCATTGCCTAAACCAAGGTCATGAAGATTTATACCTATGTTTTCTTCTAAGAGTTTTATAATCTTAACTCTTACATTTAGGTCTCTGTTCCATTTTGAGTTAATTATGTATGTGGTGTGAGGTAGGGGTCCAACTTTATTTTCTTGCACGTATTTCTTGGTGAGTATTACTGTCTTAATATTAAGTCTTCCAATTTGTGAACAGGGGATATCATCAGTCCATTTATTTAGGCCTCTGATTTCTTTCAATGATGGTTTGTAGTTTCTGTATATTGAATCTTATTTCAACATACATTGATTACAGGGTGAAGTAACGATTATGAAGGAAAGAGTTTTTCTTTATTTCAAATCTGACCAGATCTCATTAGGTTGATCTGTATAACGATACTCAACTGTTTTTGATCTATAAAAATAGCAATTTCATACACTTCAACCTGATACTTTTCATTGCTTGTCCATAGACTGATTTAATTAGTTAATACATGAACAAACTAAGCTGCTATTACAAAAAGCCCGCAGATACGGTGGCTTAAATAAGGCAGAAGTGTATTTCTTTTAAGGAGTAGTCCAGTTAGTCCAGGCTGCTGGAGCAGTTGTACCCTGTGAGATCATTCAGGAACCCAGGTTCTTTCAGGTCCCTCCATGCATTGCTCTTGTCTGAATGGTTATATCTGAATGACTGCTACTTCTACATTGCAGTCTGCAAAAAAGGGTTGACAGAGAGCTTATGCATGGCAAGCAGTTTGTCTTTATTTTGGAGGTGAGCCAGAAGTTGGGCACACCTCTGTGCACACCCCCATTGCCTGCTCTAGGTTATGTAGGAACACCTGGCCCCCATGGAGGTAGACAAGTGTAGGCTCTGGCTGGTCAACTCTGCATCCAGCTAAAACTCTTACTGTGGAAGAAGGAGAGAATGGATTCAGGGCAACAGTCAACCACTTGCCACACTCAACTTCATCTTACCTTTCTTCTTCAGGGGAAAACATAACTTCTCAAGAACACGATTGTTTCCTGCTTTCTATAGCCCTGCCAGCCTCTTCTCCCAGCCTGGCCAAGAACTCATTCAAGCTTTATTGTCACACATTCCAAAGATTTCTACTGCTACAATGATGTGAGCAGAGTTGCCTCCAGTATCCAAGTACATTCTTAGTGGGAAGGGAAAACCCAAATGCCTAATTTGGGATCTTCTCACAGTGAGAGAAATGGCAGACAAAGAAGGGCAAGGCCATTGCAGGGCTTTGCCCACGGTGGAAGGAACAAGGCAGGACCTTTCAGCTTTTACCCAAAGTGTCCTTGTTCTGAGACAGACCTCCAGGTCTTGTCCACAAACTACAGATCCTGAAAGCAGGCTTGAGGGGCTCTGGTGAGCAGTACCTGATGATGTTATTCTCCTATCAGAAGGGAGTAGCTTGGAGGTAAACTTCAATCAACAGCACTTTGGGTGAGATGTCTTGGAATTTGTCCTGGGGACTGCTCTGCCAGCCGGTCTCTAGGTTAGAATTGTTCCCAGGACTTAATCCTCCTGACTCAGCTTGGTTGACAAATGTGGTTTGAAAATATAATCCACCCTGTTCCCTTCCAGCCTTTTTAGCTTCCATGCTGCAGTATCTCTTTCTAGGACACAATCTGCTGAACCCATTAATAGGACTTTATCCCTCTCTCCTCAAGCCTACTCATCTAAGTGCCTCCGAATGATCTTGCATCTTTATCAGGAGAAAACATGCGTCGATTACTATTCATATAGTGCATATGCACTGGTAACAGTATTTACTGCCTACAAATGCTTACCAACCAGGCTCCATGCTGAATGCTGTACATGTTTTATCTCATTTGCCTATTATGTGGGGGATGAAATGGAGACTTCTGTCATTGTAAGTTGTTAAAATTACAGTGGTAAAATGTGTTCATGATAGAAAAAAATTAGAAAATATAGATAAACAAAAGAAGATCACCCACGACCTACTTGTAAAGATAACCTATACTGATATTTTGGTGTGTTTATTCCTGTTCACGTGCTCATCCACCCATCCCTGAAAATGGGATCATTCTGTTTTTTAAGCTACTTTTTGAATATAATATCACATGAACATATCAGTAAATATTTACTGGTAACAAAATATTAATATGTGTATTATATTTGTGTGTTAGTAAATATGTCATCATTTTGAATGAGGGTATGGTAAACAAGAAGAATTGTATGTTACTTTATAATTTACAAAGTGTTTGTTTTTTCTCTTATGCTAAGTTCAGTTGCCTTTGCCAAAGATAAACAGCATGGTTCCTGAATGTGGGGTCCCAGCTGATTACCAAGTGCAAGAGCCCTTTCAGGGGGCACCTCTCCTTTCAGAGCATGAACCCCTGAGTTGACAGTTATCTCCAGTAAACAGGTTATTCCTAATTTAGAGGTAACAGTGGTTAATAAGAAATAGCCCTGGTCCAGTTCAGGTGCAGAATTGCTTTGCCTTTGGCTGGGAAGGATTGTTATCTGGGCGATGCTTTTCTTCAAGTTGAAAAAAATAAAACAACCCTCCCCCACCTCTGACTGAACCAAACAGTAGAAAGGGTTACTGTGCCTCTGGAGGTGGCTAATTAATGACACCTGGGTGAATTCCCTGAGGGTTTGGGGTTAGGCTTGAGGACTCTTGGGAAATGCTGGCGGCACTGTGGGAGCTGGTGTTTTTTTTGGCGGTGGAGGGGCTCCAGGGCAGAGTTTTAGCTGGTGCTTTAGCAGGCTGCTTGACAGTGGTCTTGGAAGGCCCTTTCAACCTTTTCTCCACCCCAGGAGAGCAATATAGTAGGCTAAACCTGAGGTAGATCTGTGGGCTTCTTTCTGCCCGCCTCTCCCTGGGGCTCAGATCCAACTAACCATCCAACTAACGTGTATTTCTCCAGTTTCCTTCTTGGACTGTGTTTCTGTGAAAGGAATACCAAGACTGCATTTATATCACCCACCTTCTGTTACAAAAGGGAACAGGAACACTGGCAGAGCAAAACCTTGACTGGGTTAGTCATCCTGGGAAAGGCTTCTTCCCAGAAGGCTCGTGCCCTTCAGCAAGGCTCTCTCCAGACACAGTGGGCTCTCCCCAACTCCCACCAGACACTTTCTCATTTCAGGTCCTTGCCAAAGGGAAACACAGTGTTTGCTAGCCATAGATGGTCATTTCTGGGTGAGGAGCACTCGTTATATATTCTTCGTAGCTCTCTGTGAGCTGTAGGGGCGGTTGTCCTTGTTGTGCAGATGAAGGAACTGAGGTTTGGAGATGTGAACTTGCTTTGCCAAGGTCACGCCACGGGTAAGTGGTAAATCAGGCATTTCACTCAAGTCTGTCTCAATCTTTCTTGAGCAGTAGTTTTCTCATTTCACTTAGTTGTAGAGTCCTTCAAATGGAATGGAATGCTGAAGAGCAAAGAAGCAAGCCAGGTATGAGCAGAGCTGCCCTTGTTGAAGCTGGGAGGGGTAGGGTGCCTGGCTCCTTCCTTCCCCAGATGGGCCGAGGCACCTGCGTGGGTCACCTAGGACTCCGCATGGAAACCGTTGCCAGAAACCTCTGTGCAAGGACACAGAGAGGACGCATGTTTGGGTTTCAGAAGCACTCTACTGCTTTGCCAGGTGGTTAGAGTTCAGACACCAGCCATCTTTGCCTGGATGGGAGAAGTGGTTCTTTGGAACTTGGGTTTTTATGAGAGCCCCTCTAACCTAGGAATCTAATCAGCAGTGCTGAGAATTCTGAAAGGTCACTTGGGAAAAGCTACCCAGCATGACCACTGTCTGGGTGAGTCACATTAAAGGTTTGGCAGGAAGTATAGTAGTGCCATTCTTGGTGGTACTGGGGCTTACTCTAGGGCACCCAGTGCACCCTGCAGGGCCATCTCGCCCATCCACCAACTCACTCGCTCACTGTATGGGGGCCTACTCTGTACCAGAGCCTGGGCAAGGCCCTGAGAATGCAGATTAAAGACTGCTATCCGTGCCCTCCAGGAGCCCACAGGCTGGTGAACAAACAACTACAATACATGGCAGCCCAAACGAAGTCTGAGTAACACCTGGAGGTGTTAGGGAAGGCTTCCTAAAGTGTCCAGTTGTTTCCATCAGCCTCGCTCTAAAACCTGACTCCTCCTCTAGACAGGACAAGACAAGGCTTGCAGCTGTCTACCAGGCTTTTTGTCTGTCAAAATACATGAAGAAAACAATAGTATCGGGAGAGGTCACTGAGGTAAAGCCATTGACCAAGGAGACTGGCCAGACGATTCTGAGGGTCCCTCTGTAGGGATGCCCCGTATCCGATACACTGGTTGGCACATTGCTGCTCTTTGGAGCCATGCCAGGCCACTCGTGTTTCTTTAAAGGCAAGTTCATGCCCTCATACATGCTGATCCCTGTCTCTGGAGCACTGACTCTTCCTTCACTCAGCAGGCAAGGTTTAGCAACCTCCTACCCTATTCTCGTCTGGTTTGGGTGACCCTCCTTAGTGCTCTCATAGTATCTCTGTTGTAACTCACTTCTCTGTATTCTAATCGAAGTTTTTTCTATTCCTCTCACTAATCTCTGTCTTCTGTCCTATATCCCAGTGCCTAGCATTGAGCTTGATGCCTAATAAATATTTAGTAAATGTTAAAAATAAATGAATAAATGGTGGTGGTGCTTTTGAATCGAATCTTACTAGGCAGAGAGATGGTGGAAGGGCATTCTAGAGAGAAAGAATTGAAAGTTGGTCCAGGGTTCACCATGACTCACTTCACGTATACCCTTAATAATATGCTGCTAACCATATCTAAAACTTGCTTTTCTCATCTGCAAAATGGTGATGAAACTTATCTTGCAGGTTTGTTGTAGATTCAGGATGATGTTTGTAAATGGCAGAGCACCCTGCACATGCAAGGTACCATGATAAAATGGATACTGAATTTTTTAAAAAATTAATACGGCTTTTTGTTGGTTATAAACTACTGATGAGTATTAAAATTTTTGAGGTTTGTGTTGAAAATATAAGGAGAGCCACAGTTCCAGCTGTTCATGGCCTTAACATTTTCTTGTCCGGACATTCCTGGAAGGATTGAAAGCTCTATACTTTTGTCGGGTTCTGATTGTGAATTTGTAGAATAATTATTCCACTAAGCTTTGTGCTCCTCATTCTCTGACTCCCAGGACCGGTGAGAAGAAATTCTTCATGTGGATTTGCAAGGAAGGGAGGAACCTCTGAAGTCCTTGCAGCTGACAATCTGCTCTGTCCCCTGGTGCAGGCCACCCTGGTGCAACTGTCCCCTTTGAATTAGAGGTGTCAGTTAAGGACTTGCACTGATAGGTGCAAGAATCTACTCAACCTAGTGTGCAGTAAAGAAATCTTTTACAAGAAAAAAAATCTGTTTGGAGTGGTCAGCTCTCTGCTTTCCTAAAGCTAAAAAATGTATATGTGTGATTAAAGCTAAAGTTTTTTTAAAACAGAAAAAGCATATTTTGGGGAGGCTGCCCCTTCTCCCAGTTTATTACATTAACTGTAACAACAACAAACTAGTTGTGGCCCTTGAGCATTGATTTAAACACTAGAGTAGTTCATTTAATTTCATGACAGCCTTGAGAGACTGCCAGTGTTATGACCCTTTATGGGTGAGGAATTTGAGGAACAGACTTTGAAACGAAGTGTTCCTGACTCCAAGGTCTTTGCTTTCAGGCAGTAGGCCGTGTGGTCTCCCTTTTATAATGTACTAGTGTGTCTAGTTTGTTAGTTTCCCTGCACACTGGAGGGAATGTAGGATGCTCAGCAAGGCCTCCCGAGCTGTTTCAGAGAAGGTGCACCTGTGGTTATTACATGGCTTCCGTCTTCTTCCTCTCTTTAGCTATGGGGTGCTGCTTTGGGAGCTACTGACTGGTGAGGTGCCCTTCCGAGGAATTGACGGCTTAGCAGTCGCCTATGGAGTGGCCATGAACAAGCTCGCCCTCCCCATCCCTTCTACATGCCCAGAACCTTTTGCCAAACTCATGGAAGGTAAGTGATCCCTGCCTGGAACAAAGCTGGAGACAGTTCACCTTCCCATCAGCACTCGATAGATTCTGGCCAGATCTGCAGGATCAGTTACTGAAAGAGAAGATGAAGTATTAGTCACTCAAGGAGGAGCCCTGTAGGCAGTTAGAAGAGCTACTCCAAGATGATGTCAGCACCCTAATACATTGATGTCATAGATGTCCCTTCTGTCCATCCCTAGTGACTGTAGATCTCAACTTAGTAACTAAAGCCTGCTACCCAGTACTAACACAGTTTTCAACTAGTGTGCCGCAAGAATTTTTAAAACATGCAATACCTGCTATTTAGTCAGGGGCACTGACCTCTTTTTCCTTAAATTCTCAAATAAAACAGTGACAGCAACCAGCACAACAATAGCCATTTGGTATGAATGAATCAAAATCATACCTACTTTTTTTTTTGTTAGATAGGCAAACAATATGTTTTGGTGTGCCACAGAATTTTAGTAATTAGTGGATGTGTGCCATGAGATGAAAAATGTTGAAAACCACTACAGTATTTTGTTGTTTTATTACTTAATACAAATTAAGAATGCATAGCAGTTTTTATTTCAGGACCTCTGAGTGTCTTACATATAGAAATAAAGAATACTTGAGAAGAAAGGAACTCTAAAAGTCATCTAGTCAAATCCTGTACTTTTGTAAGTGACAAATCCAAAGTTGCGAGAGGCGAAGTGGATGGGTGCCTACTCCATTAGTTAGGGCTGAGCTGAGAGTAGAAAGAATTCACTTTTCCTGATGCCCACTCCATGCTTTTGATCATTTATTTAGGGAAAAGTGAGGCCCAAGGTGCAGTGACCCATTGTGAGGACTGGAATCAAGAGTAATTTGATAAATTGTGGTAGTGTACTTGGCACAAGGGAACTCTTTGGACTTGCTTTTCTCACGCTAAATCCACAGTAACTGTCGAGTGGATGCAGAAGTGCTGCATTTTCTTTCCAAATTCACTCTTGATTGTGATGTTGGGCACCTTGCTTTACTTCCTAAGTCCAGTTTGTGGACTAAATCCCAGTCTCTGTTTCTGGAAGGAGAAAATGAGAAGTAGTTTCCTGGGAAATGAGGTCACACAGTACCCTAAATCTTACATGTGCCTCTGTCATGTATGCTTTTTGTCTGCTCACGCGTTCCGTGAAGATTGCTGGAATCCCGACCCCCACTCACGACCATCCTTCACAAGCATCCTGGACCAGCTGACTACCATAGAGGAGTCTGGCTTCTTTGAAATGCCCAAGGACTCCTTCCACTGCCTGCAGGACGACTGGAAACATGAGATTCAGGAGATGTTTGACCAACTCAGGGCCAAAGAAAAGGTAAGAAAAAAAGGTAAAGGCATGCATTGAACCAGTGACTCTTCTCTACTGGGGCCTCCGGACAGATCCTGGCGCGACCACCTTCCTGCTTGGTTTGTGATAACAGGGCAGCTCTTTCCTTCCCAGCTTTGCGTGGAAAGAATTCTCTAGGCCTCAAGTGTGACCTGAAATGGTATAGACTTTTTTCTTTCTTTTTGGGATGTGGCAGGAATAAGGAGGGGGAGTTGTGAGTCCAAAGCACTCCTGGAGCACATCATCATTGTCCCAGCCAAAGCGAGAGAACCACTGCGCAGGTACCCGTGTGGCATCTCACCTTGGCAGCAGAAAATACAAAATGATTCTAGAAAGGTTTCTTGGTTTTGCAATACACTCGTGGAGGTTAGCCTGATACAAAGATACTTCAACATTGACAACATTTATCAGAGCGTCTTGCCAGTGTCTTTTGGTATCAGAATCAGAAATAGCATATGGGCTAAAAATACCAAGGGTCTGAAAATGTTTGACATTTTCTCTATTTTTATGAAAAGGGCTGAAAGCCCAAACCAGCTGGGGAGTTCAGAGACTGAACCAAGTAGAGATCCATCTTCTTGTTTTGGCAGCCATTCCTTAAACGGCCCCTCTCTAAGCCCTCAGTGAGTGTCCCGTCAGGGGAAGCTAATCAAAGCAGTTGCCCTGCAGAGGCAGGGCTCAATCTCAGGGCTACAGCTCGGGGCAGGACGGATGCCTCTGTATAGGCTTGGCTCATTTCTTTTTCCGTTATCACTCCCCACCATGGGAACCTAGGAAGCACTATGAGAATAATAGTAACTAAAATTATACATGTCTTTATGACTTCCCAGTTCTCTCACTTGAAAGGTTTGATATGACCTTTTCATGCATTTTATCCAGGAGTCTTATGGCCCTGCCACCAACATGTAGGGCAGGTGTTCTTACCGTTTTCATCTCAAAGCTGAGGATCAGTGACTTATCTGGTAGGTGGGGAAACAGAATCTTCAGCCTGGGTCTTCTGATTCCAAAACCATCCTCTTTCCAGTATCATTCCTGTTTCCCTAAAAAAATGACTTAAATATCATTGCTGGAGCTGACTTAAAAAGACAAGTGTTCAACATAGCAGTCCTAAACTTGGTACTGTTTGACGAGTCAACAGGCATTCTGCAGGGGAATGGAGTGAGCTCATGGCAACTACTGAGGGGTCCAGGGAGAGAGGGGGTAGACCTGCCCTGGCCATTGAGCAGAATGATTAAAAGAGACTGTTCCTAGTGCGAATGCTATTCCAGCTGGAAGAACTGCAGAGTTGCCGGCCTTTTTTTTAGATTGCTGAATCACTGACTCTCGGTTATTTCTTTTGATTGATGAAATTATGAGGATACCAGCCAGTAAGAAAAAGGAAAGTTGGCTTTTGTCAATAAGTAGTTATTAGGAAAAGTCAAACTCATTCTCCTAAGAGCTAACACTTGCAGAGCATGTACTGTGTGCCGTGGTCTGTTATAAATCATTTATATGAATTCTTACATAATTTTATATATAATAAGGTAGTAATTATCTTGTGTAATACAACCCTGTGATGTCAGTGCTGTTAACCCCATATCACAGATGAGGCCCATATTCAATTGCCCGAGGCCACAATTCAGGCACTTTGTTCCAGAGTCCCCGCTCTTAGCCATGATGCTGTGACGCCTCTCGTTATAAGTCTTGGAGTTGGGCAAGTGCGGGTGAGATGAGTAATGAGCTCTCTCTCTGGAAGGATCCCTCTTACGTTGTTGTATGTGGAAGATGTGACCTGCATACTGTAAAGTTGATCCCTAAATGGGGGTTTCACAAGAAGGGGATTTACCATGTTTGGGGGTCTTCTAGGTATATGGTGCCATAGGTAAGTGCTTGGTAAAATGATTCAGCTTATTCTTCACGTTGGCTCAACCTACTGCTTCTAGGCGTTGTGACCATGGATTGGTCTCTGGACTGGGGTTTGAGTTCCCTTAAAGGAAAGGGCTTAGACTCAAACCATCCCGTAGACAGGAGCATGAAGGAAAGGGGATTTAGGACGGCTGATATTAGTTTGAACTGTTCAGCTTTCCCATTTAACAGGTGCATCAACCAATCAGTAATAAAGTTTCTGAATCGTCCATGTGTTTTTGTTTTCCTTATAGTGAAAACAAAGTAGTAGGACAGGGAAGACAAGGATTTGGAAGGTGCACAATTAATCTCCTTGGAGTTTAGTTCATCAAAGGAGAAGCTCAAAAGTTCCAGCTCATCTCGTAGATACTTAGGATGAATCTATGTTCCCATAAAGAAGGATTGCATTTATAAAATTGTCTTCTATCTCCTCCTTCTTTCTCCACTCATTCATTCATTGTCTCAGCAGTTATTCAGCAGCTACTGAGCACTTCCCTGGTACCAGTTTTCTAGGTGCTAATCTTCTCATGCTTCTTCTTTCTGTTACTTTTATGGTTATTTTGATATTCTCTTGGGAATGCAGGACAAGTCAGATGAAAAGCTCCTACCATCAGAATATTTTATTCCCATAGTTGTTCTCTCTTCTGCTCTCTACCTGCTACTCAACTTCCTCAATATGTGCTCACATACTTTTATTTTAATAGCTCTACGTTCCTTATCTACAGTATTTTGTTTTAGTTCAGAATGACTTCTTATAGTGGAGCATGTCACTGAGAATTTTAAGTTTCGACCACAGAAGCATCGCTCTGGCTTCGTTATTGAAGACACTTCCCACTTTTTTTTAGACATGGCTCCTTCAGGTAATTGACATGAAAGCTTAAATTTTCCCTTGTTCCCACCCCACTTCAGTTCTAGGCCTGGAGTCCCCAATGTTCACAGTTTAGATTTCATATTTAAAAATTTTATCCACATGCTTTGCTCTCTTTCCTGTTTTCTCTACTTTCTGATTCCATAGCTCCCACCTCTTTCCAGGACTCCGTGCTGCGTTCTTTGATAACGTCACGCAGAAGGCAAAAAGGGAGGCAGGGGAGAGGTTCTGCCCACCTGATGTGGCAGTGGTTCTAGAGCAAGTGCCTGGCGAAAACGTCAGGAAATGTTTCTTCTCCTTGCTGCGCTGTCATGATCTTTCCAGAGCAAATGGTTGTGCTTTAAGATAAGGTGAGAGCTCTGAGCACAGGCCTCAGTGGATTCACTCACCCAGTGAACATCACGTACCTTTTGAACAGCCATGCTGGAAGTCTGTTTACTTTTATTTGAATCTTTTAGGTGATGCCTGGAGCGTGATTCGTTAACAGCGGGTACATTTTAAGTTAGATCATGTTAAGTTGATTCTGGTTTAAAAAAAATGTTTTTGTATGATGGAAAAAAATTAAAATAGAACCAAGTCTGTAAAATTTAAGTACATGTTATATTTTCTACCCAAACCCCCATTATTTTCCCAAGTCACAGTTGATTTTAATGAGTAATCAAGGAGCCCCTGGGAACTATCAGTCTGGGGCTTGGCCTGTGGCTACTGGAGCTGTACCCTCAGTGTGGCTGTTCTGAGCCTTCCTTTCCCACGCCACCCACGTGGTCAGAGGTTCATTTACCAGCTAACTATTGTGCGGCCATCTCCTTGGGGGACTTGATGTACGGGCACCGTGGGAGCGCTCTCCAGGTTGCCATGAGCACCAGCCCTGCAGGGCTCAGTGGCCGGAGTCGGGGCGTGTCTCCCGGGCCTCACCCCAGGCCTGACTGATGGCCCTGTCCCCACAGGAGCTCCGCACCTGGGAGGAGGAACTGACGCGGGCTGCGCTGCAGCAGAAGACTCAGGAGGAGCTGCTTCGGCGCCGGGAGCAGGAGCTGGCCGAGCGGGAGATAGACATCCTGGAACGGGAGCTCAACATCATTATCCACCAGCTGTGCCAGGAGAAGCCCCGGGTGAAGAAACGCAAGGGCAAGTTCCGGAAGAGCCGGCTGAAGCTCAAGGATGGAAACCGCATCAGCCTCCCTTCCGGTCAGTGGCCAGGGGCTGCTGGGAAGCGGGAACAGGACAGGACCCGTGGTGGTGGGGGCTGGGAGCCAGAGGCTGAGCTTGGAAACACGGGACCCTGAGTTTCAACAGGAAACCGGTAAAAGCCACCCCATTCCAGGGCACTTTTTGAGGCTAAATGCAGAATATGAAGGCAAGACAAACTGGTGATGGACCTGACAGGCAAGCGTGGGACGTGCAGGCTGCAAAAAGCCTGGGCACTCACTAGGCACAGCTGGAGAAGGAAGCATGTGATTGGGGGGACAGAAATTCCAGACAGCCAATGCGTGAGGCAAGAAAACTCTTGTCTCTGCAAAATAACTCAAGAAGGATTAATGTATAAGGATGTGATTCACATGTACCCTTTCAGACATATGTCGGCTGAATACAAGTACATTTGTGGTATGCACACCTTTGGGAAACTGCAAGAAAATGTGAAACTTGAAAATATGAAAAAAAGAATTAGAATCTCAGAGGGTACAGTGTACCCATGGAAGGAGATGGGTGCTTAAGTGTGTGCGTAGATTAAAAAAAGTTCACTGTATTATAAGCCCTTAAGGTCCCTGGAAGCAAGCTTAGTACAAGTTAAGGAACCATCCCTGGCCAGGTAGCTCAGCTGGTTAGAGCAGAGGTCCCTAACCCCCTGGCCACAGACCGTGCCTGTTAGGAACTGGGCCACACAGCAGGAGGTGAGCTTGAATGTAATGCACTTGAGTCATCCTGAAACCATCCCCTCAACCCCAGTCTGTGAAAAAATTGTCTTCCATGAAACCAGTCCCTGGTGCCAAAAAGGTTGGGGACTGTTGGGTTAGAGCATCATCCCGATATGTCAAGGTTGCAGGTTCGATCCCTGGTCAGGGCACATATAAGAATCAACCAGTGAATGCATCTCAATAAGTGGAACAACAAATCGATGTTTCTCTCCTTTCCCCTCTGTCTCTCTAAAATCAATTTTTAAAAATTTAAAAAAAAAGTATGAAGGGAAAATGGCACAATAGGAGCAGTAGTGGATGATTTTAAGCACAAGGATGGTGGCTTAAGTACAGACAAAGGAATTCATTTAGTGAAAGTTGGTGAATGTGTTCATGGGACCCATTTACTGGTTTCCTTGTTGCACATTCTTTTTTCTTTTCAGGCGACACAGAGTCTCTAAGCACCTTTTGAGCATCCAGCATGTGCCAGCATACTGCTGCATGCCGGAGAAGTAATAGTTCCCATCTTCAGGGAGATCACAGACTTAGGTGTCAACATGCAGCTGTAATTATTGTACCTCTTTGATAGATGAGGAGAATGATACTCAGACATTCAGAGCTGTAAGTTTTACATTGCTTGGGCCACGCCACAACTGCCTTTGGAATGCATCAGAATTTGGACCATGGGTCCCATGTCCCTTACTTCCTTACCTCCTTAGGTACCCACCAAGGATTAGTTCTTAGTATCCTGCTCTCCCTGCACTTAATGAGAAGCATTAAACCATCTGCTTTGGTTCCTGAGAAGAGGGGGTATCTACTAATAGAATATGTGAAACAGAGGATTTAAAGTTAGATTTCCTAGAATAATCAACAACTCTCATCGTCTAAAAGAAACTATTCTAAATATGTAATTGCTACGCCTGTATAAATTTATGAAAACTCTCTAATGACTTTTACTTGGATAAAGAATTTTCATTCTTGTATGTTCATCTTGCCATCCTTTAGGGAAAAGAGATGATTCTGAAAGAGAACATTTCCCAGGTGAACAAGGAGTTTCTCAGGAAACGGGGGCCTGTCCCTCCAGCCTGCCAGGAAATGTCAGTTTTCTCAGAGGAATTTTATTGTGGGAAAATTCTAACGCAAATGCATGTGTCTGTCTTTCCCCGAGCAGATTTCCAGCACAAGTTCACGGTCCAGGCCTCCCCGACCATGGACAAAAGGAAGAGTCTCATCAACAGTCGCTCCAGTCCTCCTGCAAGCCCCACCATCATTCCTCGCCTTCGAGCCATCCAGTGTGAGACTGCTTCCCAAATTAGTGGGGGCCAGAACACACCAGGGGCACCTGTCCCCTACTCTGTCCAGCCACCGACTGGTCCAGGCTTGCACCATCCATAACTTCTGCCACCTCTCCTCGACAATGTGTATATACATGCACATATGTACGCAAACCTTAGCCCTCCCCCTTGTCTCCCTCCATTAGCTTTACTGCTGCCTCCTCTACCTCTTACTCTTAGTCAGATACCAGCAAAGGGGTTGGTGGGTATTGTGGGTACAAAGCAATTTAGAACTGGTGTGCGATGTAGGTACAGGTTGGTACTGTAGCCTGGATACCCTGTGTGCCCTGCCATATCTGGGACATCATTGTTTTTCCCTTGTTTATGCTTCCCAGGGAAGGGTGTTTTTAAAGTGTAGGTCCTAAGAAAACTTGCCAAGTGTTTTACGATAGGTCAAATTATTTTTACAGAAGTATTTATTAAAAAGGATTTATACATACACAAACACATACTTGTACACACATGTGTGTATGTTTATGAATGAGTTTGTTTCCTTAATTTAAAGCTAGAGAGATTTCACTTAAAAAATCCTGGATTTCTGGCTTTCCTTGAAAAATCAAATCAAATCAGCGGGTTCCCCTTTGCATGTGGCCACAGTTGGCTGGAACTCATGGCTGCTTCCTTATACTCCGTATTTTGCCTCAGTTCCTCCAACTCCTTATTTTTTGGTAACTGACTCACTTCGTTCACTTATGATACAAGCCAAGTCTCTGAAGCGTTTGGGTGTCAGCCATGCTCTAAGGTACCAATTTCAGAAGAATGTCCTTTCCCTGTTAATCTCTTACATTTCTCTAGACCTGTTCCTTCCCCCGCCCTCCTACTCCCGACTTCCTTCTCAGGAGCCTTGAAACCCTCATTTCCTTCCTTTCCAACACTTTTCTTACCAAAATTTCTGCACTTCCACATCTTCCTTATTCCTTATCTTTTTCCCTCTCTCACCTACCCGCTCCCCCACCCACCTCACAATCCAGTTCCACCCAACAGAACAAATTCCTTAAATCCACTCTGTTTGGAACTCTGAGCTCTGGCTGGCCCGAGCTCCAGCTTTACATCAGATTTATGAGAAGCTAGGAAGTGTTCCCATGTTTGGTGCTTGGAGAACACTAAATGATTGGTGGCTGAGAACTCCATTACTCTCCTGAAAGGCTCCTCTTGGGCACAGGGTTTTTGGAGAAGTCTAACTTCTTCCCAGGAGCTGTGTGTGTATGTGTGTGTGTCTGTGTCTGGTTGGGTAGTTTGCAGGGTAGTTACAGCGGGGAGTGCTGTCTGTCTGTTTCCAGATCCCATCTAACCTTTGTTATTACAGTGACACCAGGTGAAAGCAGCAAAACCTGGGGCCGGAGCTCAGTCGTCCCAAAGGAGGAAGGGGAGGAGGAGGAGAAGAGGGCTTGCAAGAAGAAGGGACGTACGTGGGGACCAGGCACACTTGGTCAGAAGGAGCTTGCCTCAGGAGACGAAGGGTAAGAGCCAGACGAAGGGAAGATCTCATTAACGACAGGGCGCGCTTCTAAAACTATGATGCAAAATACCTTTTTCTGTGTTGTGTGTTTCACTTTCTGAGAAATTGTAAGCTTCTGGATCTTTACAACCTTTGCCCATCTCCTTTTCCCCTGGAACCTCCTAGGACCGGGATAGGCATGCTTTATCCATAAAGAGCTAGATCAATATTTTAGGATTTGTGAGCCTACTCAGCTTCACTGTAGTGGTGCAGAGGCAGCCTCAGACCACGGATGAGATGCACATGAAAAACGGGTAGTGGGCAGGATTTAGCCCATGAGTGAGTTTACCAACCCCTGGATGCATTCTCCTCAGAGTAGCAAGTACCCTAAGCATGAAGCAGATGTCCAGTGTTCTGTCTGAATATTGTACTTATATGTGGCTCTTCCTCCTGAAAACATGTGCTAAAAGGAAAGAGAAGGAAGAGCGGATTGTGGGCCTCTCTTGACTGGAAGCTCATGCTGAAGCTGGGGCAGGCAGAATAGCCCAGGCCTGGTGGAGCAGTTGGACAGAACTCCAGGACGATGGGAACTTCTTTTAGGCCCCACCCCATAGCCACACTGACAGGCGTGAGCGCCCCCCTGGGCAAAGCACAGAGCGCATCTTGGTGCCTTAGATGTGCTTGTGTTTGCCCTGTGGGCTGGTAGCCTAGGACTCAAATTCTCCTGGTCTTTGTCCTTCAGAGGCCAGTCATTTGCAGTATAGTAGTGAAGAGCTTGGATGCTGACCCCAGGCTGCCTGGGTTCAAATCCTGGCTCCACCAGATTAGCTGGCTCATAGTAAGCATTGTAAATATTTGCTAGGCTTCTTCCATGTTTCTAATGCAATTCTAGTTCCTACCTGAAGAACAAACATAATGGTGTATACTTCTTCATGTTAAAATCTGAACCATGTTTTTTCACTTTTCCTTGTGTAAATATAGGTAGAATCCTACTCTTTTCTAGTGTCTTTCCAGAGAGCTTCTGAGTTGAACTTATGGGTGCCCTGAACCTATAATGAGCCTTGGTATTCCTCTGAATACTAAGACTTCATGTCCGAAATCTGTTTCTCTATGTCAGATGTGAGCTGGAGGTGAGGATAACTGTTTGGTTCCTAAAGGATTGACTGTTTGAAGCCAGGCTTTGGAAATCACTAGATACCTTGGAACAGAAAATTTAGATAGGTAGGACAACTACCTCAGCTATGTAAGACTTCAGTGATCGAGCCCTCTGGGGATGGCGAGGTGCACTGCTGTGCCAGGTCCTGCAGGAGCCCTCGGGTGCAGCAGGGGTGAGCCGGGGCTCAAGAAACTCAGTCACTCTCAGTCCATATTTCTGACCATTGTGTGATTACACAGAGGACTTGCTAGGGTGGCTATGGATCCCAGTAGTTTCTGTGGTTCAGCTTCATTTAAAGGTTTGGGGTTTTTTTTGTTTTTTGTTTTTGGTCTTGCTATCAAATTGCTTCTTTTGCATTATAAAATATTAACTTTGGAAGCGTCTTCCTCTTTACATAGATTTGCCCTCCAAACGTTTAAAGCAGTTCAAAATATGTGACATCATTTTTCATGATTCTTAATTCCTCTTGAAGGAAGAAAATATATTCCACCCAATCTCGAGCAAAAGACCTCTTAAATGTCAGGCATTTTTGAGAACCTCTATATGACAATATTTCTAAATTTGGTCCCTGTTGGCTAAAGAAAATATGTGATGATGTAGAGCTATATTGAACTTCGTAATGTTAAGTGAATTTGGCTCTTCATACTTTAAAAACAAAAAAGTTGGTATTTGTAGGAAGCACATGGTTGTGTGTGGACAGGCCGGGTATCTGTGAGTTCACAGGCCCCAGGAACTATGCGGTGGCTGCCCGGGGACTTTTGTCCCACAGACCGGGAGGCCCTGTCTGGTCTGCAGCAGCCCCAGCGGGCCCTTCTGGTTAAGATTCCTTCATGGTGTGAGCTTTGCTGACTGGGCCAGGGGAGGGCGGCTGATCACGTGGTTCGAGTGCAGCCTCGAGGGGTCTCGTGTGGGAGAGGCTGAGCTGGAGGTACCCGCTGCTGCCCACTACTGATTCTTTTTATTCATTGAAGATCCCCTCAGAGACGTGAGAAAGCTAATGGTTTAAGTACCCCATCAGAATCTCCACATTTCCACTTGGGGTGAGTCTAATTTTCACCCCTTCAAATGTATTGGCAATAATTCCCCCTCCATTTCCTTGTTCTCATGGCACACCTCGTAGACTCAAGCCTCATTATTGCCAGGCTGTGCTAACAGGTTTTTTTTGTTGTTGTTGTTGTTGTTGGTTTTTTTGTTGTTTTTTTTTAAAGCAGTACCATTGTGCACCTTGGGAAAATTCCTGTGTTGGTTGGTCTGACTTTACCTTGTTCTTCACTTTCCTGACCCCTCCTGTTGTTGGGGTTCTGGTACCCTTAGTTTTAGGGAGACAGTGCTTGTCTCTTTATCCTTTGGTCTCTAGTACTGGCTCTGACTTTACTAATCTGGATTTCCTCGGACCCAGAGCTGGAGACAATGTTAAAAGATTACCAGTTAGAAGGCTCAGGCTGGGTGGTTAACAGCAAGCTTATCTCTGGCTGTGTATTTTGGTTCACACTAGTGGAGGCTGGAATGTATTTTAATTCATTGATATTTGTGATAGCACTTGAAACAGATATCTGAAGCCATGGAAAAAGTGGGTCCTTCCCTCTCCCTCAAGATAGGCTGGGAAGAGTAGACTTTAAGTGAATGGCTCCTTCCAGCCCTAAAATCAGAGCTGCCTCTGGTTATAATCCTGGTATCTCTAAGGCAACCATAGCATAGATTCCTGTCCTTCCTCTCATTGTCCTCAAGGGAAAAGGCCAGTGCTTCTGGGTCCTTTACTCCCTCAGGTTACAGTGCTTCCCAGTCTGTGCCCAGGAGTTACTAACTTGCTAGTGTGAGCTGATCACAGGGATTTGAAAGTGAGCTCCTGTCCTTTTGCTCCCTGGTCCCAGACAAACCGAGGGCTCAAATGCAGCAGTACGTGCTCCCTACATAGGTCTGTCCCAAAGTGCACTGGGCTGGTGCAGCGTTGCTGGTTGGTTTTGGTTTTCGAAAGCTGCCGAAGCATGCCATAAGCTTGGAAGGAGAAATTGAGCAACGATGTCAGTGGAGTGACCTGGCACATCTCTGCTAGCTCATCGGCCCAGGGCTTGGCTTGCATCGCAAGTCTCTGCATTGCAGTGCTTCTAATGCCACCAGTGTGTTGTGTTCAGCGTCCCTTACCAGGGGCCCAGGCGAGACCCCGGCCGGTGCTGTGCACTCCTTATCCTTTCCGCCCTCTCCCCGGCCTGCCCGTCAGACCCTTCCACAGCCTGCAGCAGCATGTGAAGGGGGTGGGTCATGCCACTGCTTTTCTCTCTCTGCAGCATGTGCACTTTTGTTAATGAGGCAGGTGGGCTCAGTAAGGTTTGTTGCCTGCACCCCAGGCTCTTGGGTTTTGCTGTAATTAAGGTAGACACATTTCCACGGGTTCACAAAACTCAGGGCAGAGTAAGGGAAGCAGCCAGTATTAACAGTTTCCTCATTTCCCGTAATTTAGCCTCAAGTCCCTGGTAGATGGATACAAACAGTGGTCGTCCAGTGCCCCCAACCTGGGGAAGGGCCCGAGGAGCAGCTCGGCCCTGCCAGGGTTCACCAGCCTTATGGAGATGGGTAAGCATTGCCCTTGTCTTGACTCTCTCCCTGTTCTCTCGGGGAGTTCTTGGCCAAGCTTCTCAGACTGCTTAGGGCCCTCATATCACTTCATAGGGGTCTCCTCTTTCACTCAGATTTTCACCCCCTACCTTATTCCCATTTCATTCAATCTTCTCAAATCACTACTGCTGCCGTGGAGCCTGCCCTTGACTTTCTATCCCAAGGGGCCAGTTATAGTTTCCTTAGGGCAGTGCAGAAGGGTGAGGCCTTGAATCAGGTACTTCCCTTTGCTGGGTCTGTTTCCTGGCATTTTAGTGTAGGGAGCCCATAAAACAAGAAATGGCGGTAGATGATGCCACAGTCTTCCTCTTAAGGAAGCTTTGTAATGTTGCCCCTGACTGCTGAATGGCTGAGGTCTTCCCCAGGCTCTCTCTCCGGTAGTCCTCTTATTTATCTTAGGCATCTTATTTATCTTATTTATCTTAGGTGCAAAAAAAAAAAAAAATCAGGGATGTTTCTGTTCTAGCCAATGTTCTAAGAAACTCATTGTGTTTCTTGTGTCAAGGGTCCCTGTGAAAGAAGTAGCAAATCAGCAATCCCCTGTCTGCAAATAGAGAAGCAGGCTCTGGAAGGGAGAATGATTTCTTGTTGGTCGCAGTTGACTGTTGGGGGGTAAAGCCCTGTTGGTCCAGTGCCCAGTCCCTTGTCCCGCCAATCAGACTTGATGTCCCTAAAACTAGGCCAGAGGCCTGGGTCTGGGAAGGACCAGAATCTTATTCTTGCTGCTGCATTCCCATTTCCTATTTCCCATCTGCTCCTCTCATCTTTACAGAGGATGAGGACAGCGAAGGCCCAGGGAGTGGGGAGAATCGTCTACAGCATTCGCCCAACCAGTCCTACCTCTGTATCCCATTCCCTCGTGGAGAAGATGGGGATGGCCCCTCCAGTGACGGAGCCCACGAGGAGCCCACCCCAGTCAACTCAGCCACTAGTACCCCTCAGCTGACGCCAACCAACAGCCTCAAGCGGGGTGGCACCCACCACCGCCGCTGTGAGGTAGCTCTGCTCGGCTGTGGGGCTGTCCTCGCAGCCACAGGCCTAGGCTTTGACCTGCTGGAAGCTGGCAAGTGCCAGCTGCCTCTCCCGGAGGAGCCTGAGCCACCAGCCCGGGAGGAGAAGAAGAGGCGTGAAGGTCTTTTCCAGAGGGCCAGCCGTCCTCGTCGGAGCACCAGCCCCCCATCCCGGAAGCTCTTCAAGAAGGAAGAGCCCATGCTGTTGCTTGGAGACCCCTCCGCCTCCCTAACACTGCTGTCTCTCTCCTCCATCTCCGAGTGCAACTCCACCCGCTCCCTGCTACGTTCAGACAGTGACGAGATTGTGGTCTACGAGATGCCTGTCAGCCCAGTGGAGGCCCCAGCCCTGACCCCCTGCACCCACAACCCCTTGGTCAATGTCCGAGTGGAGCGCTTCAAACGGGACCCTAACCAATCCCTGACTCCCACCCATGTCACCCTGACGGCCCCCGCACAGCCCAGTGGTCACCGGCGGACTCCTTCGGATGGGGCCCTCAAGCCCGCGGTCCTCGTAGCCAGCAGGAGCCCTTCTAGCAATGGGTTGAGCCCCAGCCCTGGAGCAGGTGAGTCCTGCCCTCCTCCCCTTTCCCCTTTCCTGCCTTTGTGCCTCCCCCAGGAGTAGAGATGTTAAAGAGAACTCCGGTCCTTCTCTGACTCAGCCAATCAAAACAGGGCAATCTGGGGTGGAGGAGGGGGCCAGCTTCTCCCTGTCCTATGCCTCAGGGGGTCTTCCCTGAGGAGCAAAAGACGACAGGCAGGTGTTAGGAAGGATCAGAGTAGAGACTCCTGTGAGTGTTCAGGCCCTGGGCCTTGGAGTGCACAGGGCAGTGCTTCTGGCCCTGGGTGCGGAGGGCCAGTACAGGAAGGGCAGGAGTCTAGCTCTGCGTGTTCCGGCAGAAGAGGCTGAAGTGACTGGAAAGAATCCCGCCCTGAACCTAGGAGGGGTATTTTTTGCCATGTAGCTGTGCTCTTGCCTGTCATTATAGCATTAGTACAGGCACACCCACAGGGCAAACTTCCGCCCTTGCCTCATGGCCTTCATCACTCACCCCTTACTCATGCCTGACTCTTTGGAAGTGGAGGTATATTCTGGTAAATTGCTGTGTTTGCGCATACGCCAGCCTTCTCCATGTGACACCTGTGACACCTGGACATGCTGCATACGCCCATCCTAGCTCTTTTCCATCACTGTCCCTTCCTCCTTAGAAGACCTGGGTCTGACTTGGGAACCGCTTCTAATCCAGTAGGAGACGGGTTGGCAATACCCTTTCAGCGAAATTTGCCTATAAATGATCATAGAATTTGACCATTCAGCTGTCCCTCCCCTCTTTTGATTCCTTTTTTTTTTGGTTAAACACAAATATGTGACCTCTTTGGAGATAGAGACCCCTGTATCACTCATCTTTTTCAGATTTCTGATACCTACCTTTGTTCCCATCACATGTTTATTAAGGGGATGAGCTATGAATGAACAGACATTTCCTTAAGTGATGGATCAGCAAACATTTTTGGAAAAGGGCCAGACAGTAAATATTTTAGGCTCTGTGGGTCAGACAGTTTCTGTTGTAACTGCTGCGCTCTGCTGCTGTAGTGGGAAAGGAGGCAGTAGGTGTGGCTGTGCTCCAATAAACTACATTTACAAACACAGGTGGCTGGCGTATGAGTTGTACTTTGCCAACATCTGCCCTGAGTAATTGGATTACAGATACAACCCCCATGGGCCCCACTATTATTATCAGATGTAGTGACCATGGCCTTCTAGTTCACTGTTGTATAATATCTCCAGTGCCTCCCAACATACTGCATGGTACATAGTAGGTGCTCATTAAACACTGGTGGTTCATGTTATCCCAAGCGAGTAGGGCTGTGGCGAGGTGGGGATGGAGCAGTGTATACCTGGCCCAGAAACAAGGTGCCCTCATCCGATGCCTCTCCCTTTGTCTTTTTGACCAGGAGTGTTGAAAACCCCCAGCCCCAGCCGAGATCCAGGTGAATTCCCCCGTCTCCCTGACCCCAATGTCGTCTTTCCCCCGACCCCGAGGCGCTGGAACACACAGCAGAACTCGACCTTGGAGAGACCCAAGACCCTGGAGTTTCTGCCTCGGCCACGTCCCTCTGCCAACCGGCAGCGGCTGGACCCTTGGTGGTTTGTGTCCCCCAGCCATGCCCGCAGCACCTCCCCAGCTAACAGCTCCAGCACAGAGACCCCCAGTAACCTGGACTCCTGCTTGGCCAGCAGCAGCAGCACTGTGGAGGAGCGGCCCGGGCTGCCGGCCCTGCTCCCGTTCCAGGCGGGGCCGCTGCCCCCCGCCGAGCGGACGCTCCTGGACCTGGACGCAGAGGGCCAGAGCCAGGACAGCACTGTGCCACTGTGTCGGGCTGAACTGAACACACACAGGCCTGCCTCTTACGAGATCCAGCAAGAATTCTGGTCTTAGCGTGAAAAGCATCGGGGGTGGGCTGGGGGGAGCAGGAGGAGATGGGGGGAGCTGGCTGGCACAGCCCTTTCTCAGAGTTGGACCCCCTGGGATCCAGTCCTACTTCTTGCACTGAAAATGCACTTTGAAGATGGAAGGGATGGAAGCAGGGCCCCTTCAGAGGGTCTCAGGCCCTGCAGACCCATGTCCGCTGGAGGGGCTGTGGCTATCAGCTCTGGCTGTGTAGGGGAGGGAGGGGTGTATGCACGTCCCCCATCCTCCACAGTCTTACTCGCCTTTAGGGTGATCCCGCAGCGTCACCCAGCCAAATCTGCTGCTCCCTCTCCTCAGCCCCCTGGGTATGCCCAGAGCCTGTCCTGGGGTCCCTCAGTTAGCCCTGAGTTCAGCCTTCCCAAACACACCAGTGTTGGATGTTCTGTGACTGATTTCGTTCCTCTGCTACATTCTTCCCTCACTCCCATGAATCAGAATCTTGTTCGATGTGAGATATGAGCTTTTCTGTGTCCCAAGCCCTTACGTGCCAGCTGGAGGGCGGAAGGCAAGGCGCCCCGGCGCGGGGCCTGGGAGCTGATGGGCCTAGTACTGCCTACCTGCACTTCCAGCCGCCCCACTTGCTTATTTGAGCCTACCGCTGAGTGGCCGTGGGAGCTGCCTTGGCGGGAGTAGGGGGTGGGGTAGGAAAATACAGTCGGGTTGCAGAAAAGGGGGTAACAGAGTCTGTCCGTCCTTGTTCCTTTTGGAAAAACTCAAAAAGAAACCAGCACCTGTTGACGGCACCCATCTCTCCTACTTGGAGTCCAGACGTGGTCAGACCAAGTTCTGATACAAATATATGCTCGTCCCATGATTAAGTTTCTTGGGATGCCAGAGACAAAGTTCCTCTGTTTGTCCCTTTTGTTGGCTGATCTTTGTATGTTCTTTCCTCCCCTTGACCTTTCCTCCAGTCCCCGGAAATAGTGGACTTCAGGTTCTATATTTGGTTGGTAGACATCTCTTCATGGTACCAGAACAGCATATGGGACTGGGGATAAGGGTCCTGGACACTGGGAATTGGAATGGGCGGGGGTATTCCTTCTCAGCCAAGCCATCTACTCTATAATCCCTTGAAGTAAAACGGAGCCGTTAGTAGTACCTTCCATAAATGGGTGTAGTGAGGCAGTGACATCTATAAGGTGCTTCATGAGCCACTGGCGTACAGCAACCTACAAGTCCCAAGCGGAGCCTGACCACGGCCTCTTGTCTCTATGCACAGATGGCCCCGTACGTTGGGCTCTGGACCACGAGCTGGGTAGGAAGGACAACAGTGGCCAACCCTGACTTTTCTGGAATTTGTTTCAACTTGAATGTTGAGCTGCCTCTAGAGCTTTCTCACACGTATCTTCACTATTCCACCTACTCTGAGACCTCCTGTGTCAAGTGTGAACAGTTGTCTTTGTGTGGGAATGGCAACTTGATGGGGAGTAGTCCCGCCTAATGTTACTCCGCTGTCTTTTCTCATGGGATATTCCTCTGGAGACCAACCTGCTCTTGCGGCTTGAATGCTGTAATGGGGAGAGTGGGGAAGCAGGTCCAAGTGATAAATGTGGTCACTGCTCGCTCTCTCTCTGCAACTATGATAGACATCCTGCCTTGGGGATGGCACAAGGGGTGACCTTGGTTTTCAAATAGTTCCTTGTTTTATGAGCCCATTTGGCACTTGGTTCAAGGGCCTGACCCAGCCTTCAGCGGAGAGGCACTGTTGGTTTCGTGGCCCATGGTCTGTTATTGTATCTCATCTCCCTTCTTCTGTTTGTTCAGTGAAGCCTCCAAGTAAGACATCATTTTTGCCCCAATTCCCCTCTCCTTAGCTTGGAGGGATAAAATATAAATCCTGTCAGCAGTTCCAGCCAACCAAGTTATCCTTTGTTCTTGCTGGGGAGAGGGACACGGATGGTCTGTCCTGTGCCCTTCCCCTTGATTCTCCGCCTCCCCGGTCTCTAAACCACTAACACATCTATAAACCACTAATCGGCTCTCTGGCGAGGTTCAGGCTCCAACTTAATCCAAACCGTGCTGGCTCTGGGCAGTGCTCTGTGGTGCGAGGCAGGGGTTTTTCTCTTGCTCATTTCTACTTCTTATCAAAGGTAGCCACCTTTCTTGGAAGTGGTAGTGTAACTGATGTATCATAAACCGAATGACGGCCACTTGCCATGGAGTGACAGGTTGAACCCAGTTCTTACGCCTCCCTCCAGGGGAAAGAGGGGAAGGCTGGATCTCTGCTAAGGGAAGAATGGCACCTGCCAGAAGCAGAAGCAAGCTTATTCTGAAAACGCTTCTGTGAGTTTCCGCGAAGATGAAGGAGGTACCATCTCTCTCTGGTGGGCCCCTGTCTGCCACACTCTCCCTGTAGGGCAAGGCTGGGATGGGATAAGGATCCTGTATAGTAACAGGTTTGAGTTGCTTTCTGTCCACTCAGGTTCCCTTGCCTGTGTGGTCATGGTCAGGATCAGGCCTTGAACCTGGGGATCGAGCCTCTGCAATGGCAATAGCGGCCTCCCTTTTCTCTTTTCTTCTCTTTCCTCAGAGACTTTCCCTTGCTCTTGGCAGGTGCTCGCTACATGGAAAATAGCGACAGGAAACAGATCCTGCCCTCTGCCCTTTGTCCTTGGATCTGCCAGCTCCTTCCACTGATGCTAAGTAGGATTCTCCTTTGTTTACCCCCTTGGGCATCCGAACCACATCTAGGGCTGGGTAGATGTCCCAGATAGCCTCATATGTTGTTTCTAAGAGGCTTTGGTGGATGCCCTTAACTTTGCATCCCTCAGTCTCCTGAGGGTCTGGTAGTGCTGATGGCGATGGCGATGGTGATGTAGTTGTGGTATCTTACCTTCGCGTGACTCGGAACAGTGCGAACCTTTCCTGCTGGCCTTTACAGAATTACATCATTTTCCTTCTACGTTTGATGTCTTTACTGATAGAGAAGGGGAAATGCTTAAAGACAAAGATTCAAGTGAAGGAGAGAAATTAAAAAGCTGCTTGGGTGGGTGGCTGAGCCGGGCACCAGGCTGTGAGACCTGAACAAGCTGGCGCTGTTCCCCGGTCTGCTTTTGCTGTCTGACCTCGGGCTTGTCTCTTCGTCCCTCTCAGGTTTCCTTCCTGTAAAAGCTGCTTCCCTCACAAGGGTAGTGAGAGTGAGTATCAGCAGGTCACTGAGGCACGCGGCTCCCAGCAGGTGGGACTGGGACGAACTGCTGCAGTTGACAGTGGTTCTCACGCCCTTTACTTCTAGAGGACTCGCCTGCCGTGCCTTCCTGTGTCTTCTGGAGCAGGAGTGATTGGGAGTTGGCTTTGCGGACTAACAGGGACCGTGGTCAGGCACGTGCTCTTCTGCACCCGAGGTTTATAAGCAGCCTTCCAAATCCCCCCACTTAACTTGTCAGGTGGATCATCCCTGTCACTAGTGTCTTAGAGAGGAGCAAGTGGCTGAGCAGCATCGAAATGACAGTTTGGGGTCTCTGACTTCTTGGAGTCTTATTCCCAGAGTCTTATTTGTTTAGAGACTGGAATCCGGCCAACTCCTGGAAGACTCTCTGGGAAGGGGTCTGCTGGCCCTTGAGACACAGGTCATGGTATGGATGTCCTCACAAAGCCCTTTTCCCTCAAACCACGCTTGCTCAGGGACATGGCAAGGCACCCCAATGGCAGCTAGGCCTGACTTCTTGTCAACACTCTTGCTCCACAGTCCCCACATTCGGACCTCCCCCCATCCCCCTACAAGGAGGGAGACACCTGAGCATCCCTAACTCTGCAAGCTCGCTTTTAACAAAGCTCAGAGTGTCGGGTGCTCAAGACTGGATGGCTGTCAGTGGCGCGCCTCAGGGGTTCACTGTCCTTCCGGTGGGGCCCTCTGGATGCAGAACCTGACCTTTTCCTTCCATTAAGCCTGTGCCTTTGATTCAGGAATGTGGCAATCTGAGCTGCCCACATACGAGTTGTGTGACGTTGCAAATGTCTCTTCCCGTCTGTGGACCTCTGAGCCCGACTGTGAACTGAGGACGATGCCTTTCCTCCCCAAGGCATGAAACCCTTCTAACTTTAAAATATCTGGTCCTGGAGTCTCTGGTCCAGCCTTATCTTGCTAGATCGCTTCTCTTTGTGGAGAAAACCATGTATATGTGTGTGGTGGTTGCGGGGGGGAGGTCGTAGGTCAAAAACACTAGAGAGAAAGCAATTTCATATGGGTCAACCTGCTAGACCACTGGCCTCTCTCCTTGGCTTCAGTCCTGAGAACGGTTTCCTGTTCAGCTACAGTTATTGTAGGAACACCTTCCCAAATGCACCTCTCTCCCTTCAGACACCTCATTGTTCTCTTAGATCAGGGATTTGAATTAATAAAAATCCACTTCAGAAAGGAAAACCCACTGCTACTTCTGGTGCGGGGGTGGGGGTCCCTCAGTCCCTGGCTTTTTCCTGGCCTGGCTGCCTGCACACGCCCCACCTCAGGTGCAGGTGCTGGAAGGCAAGAGGCAGAAACTGGAGGCCTGGCTGATTAAGGGTAATTAACAGGGCTTAGGTGCCTAATTAACCTGACCCCGCCCCGGGCTTCTGGTTGGCTGAGCAGGCCAGGTGAGTGTCTCCTAGACTTCGCAGACTGTTGACTGAGTATTTTCCATTCATCTTGATGAGATACTGACAGGCCCCACCCCCTCCTTTGTCCATTTCCAGTCTTGGGCCCTGGAAGCACCCTGGCCTCTCCAGGCTTCTGAGGGAGCCCTGGCATTTGTTCTTCCAAAGGTTGGGCTCCCTTCCTTAACCTGGAGCCAGTAGGACTGGTCCTTCCTGATTCTTACCGTCTGTGGTTCCCTGCACCCCCTGCTGAAGCCTTGCTTTGGGTCTTGAGCTCACAACTGCAGCTAGAAATAGAGGATAAATAGAGAAGGGCCCAGTGGGCTACCAGAGCCAGGAGCTTTTCCACACCTTTGTTTTGCCCTTCTCCGGACCTGTCTTCCCTCCTGACTGGT